AATACTTTTAGTATATCTCACACACAAAAAAAAGGTCAAAGTGCTTCCAAAGTTTCCTAATTAGTGTACTGCTAATCAACCCTTCTGCTCTCAAGTACTATGGTTACCCTGACTGTTTCTCAAACAAAGCAAACTCCCACACGCCTTTTAATTTGCTTTCTCTGGTGTGTTCTTCAAGCAGGTATCCATACAGCTCCTTTACCTTATGGCCTTTACTGTATGTGTGCACCTTCTTAAAACTATTTCTGGCTTTTGTACCTACAATTTCAACCCCTCATCCTCATATGGCCACCCCATACGTGCATCCCACAGTCATTCTCCCTGTAATATCCTTCCTCAAAGAACTTACTGCTATCTAACACTATTTTCACTTATGTACTCGGTTTTATTTTGTTTCCTTGAAACTGTAATCTCCCAGAAGGCAAAATGTGTATTCACTATGGTGTCTTCAGTACCTACAACAGTATCTAGCTCAAAGGAAAGGTTTACTATTTGATTTTTGTTTTGTTTTGTTTTTGAGACAGAGTCTCGATATGTAACCCAGGCTGGCCTCGAATTTGCAGCCATCCTTCTGCCTCAGCCTCCTGATATTTAATTAAGTGAATGAATGTAAACTTGGAATAAACAAAACAGAGACAGACACTATAGAACAGGTTAACTAAGAATAAATAACTGCAGTAAAGATTTATATTCTAGCTTAAAGGAAAGCCTTACACACTGAATGTCAGTAGCTAGCTCTACCAACACCTGGTAAAACAGGTTTGCAACCACCACTTGAGACTGAATTAATATTTTCTACAAGCACTGAGTGTTCCTTCCAGGTTCACTATTCTGAATCAATTGAGAAGAAAATGAAACTGTAAGAACCACAAATGAAAAACGTAACTGTCTACCTATTATGAACAATGTCTAACATAACTTACCTTAAGGCCAACCCTAGAGGACACAATTAACAGTACAATTTTGAAGTAACGCTATGGAGATAAGAAAAATGAAGGGATCTGTCTAGACTCTGTCATTAATTAGCTGTATCTCTTTAAACCTGTTTCTTATACTCATTAAAATAACAGTTATTCCCATCAAGTCCTATTCCTATCAGTAGTCTTGCTGAGGATGAAGCTAAGTGTGCTTACCTCACATGTATAAGCTCAAATCCCAGCACTGCAAATAAGCATAAAATGTCATACACTATTTAATTCCACCAAGTTTCTAAATTCTTGAATTTAGCTTACTGCCTACTAGGAATATTTATTAGTACAACATCCTTCTTGAGCAACTTTAAGTTTTAAAAGTTTTTACAGAATTATAAGTCAACTGTAGGCATGCACCAAATTTTCCCCTAGTCTCCAAATTAACAAGAGAAAAAAAATTACTAGTATATTTGCCTCAGACAAAAAGAACAGGGGGCCAGAGAGATGGCTCAGTGGAATAAGCGCTTCCCTGACAAGCGCAAGGGCCTGAGTTCAATTTCCAGTTCCACAAAAAAAAAAAAAAAAAAAAAAAAAAAAGAGCGAGAAAAAGAACAGAAATGAACTTTTTTTCCCTCAGTTACAATAAGGTCCTATTAGCAAGGTTACTACAAAAAACTGATCACAGCCAGCTGTGGTGACACACATCTGTAATACCAGCACTCCAGAGGTCAAGGCAGGAGGATCACCATAAGTTCAAAGCTAGCCTGGGCTGCATAGTGAGCTCAAGGCCAACCTGGACTACACAGCGAGACCCTGTCTCAAAAAAATAGATTAAAAAACTGATCACAAGGGTATTAATCCATTACTCTAAATAAAATGATACGGTTAACGCCTCAAACTAATCTTTAGCAGTGACAAACCAGTACCTGGAGTTGTTGGGGGTTGAGAATGACAGCAATGAAACAAGAAGCAACTTTTTAGTGTAATAGATTTTTTTGTTTTGCTTTGTTTTGGGATTTGTTTGTTTTTGAGACAGGGTCTTGCAATGTAGTCCAGGCCAGCCTCAAGCTCTTGAGCATGCACCACTTTACCTGCTTCTATTTCTTTAACTGAGGTTTTGATTACATGACAAATGCATCTGTCAAAGTTTACCAAACTGTGCCGTTTTATTGGACACAATTAACTGTATGTAAATCACATCTCAACAAAGTTAGTTTAAATAAATGAAAAGCCTGCCCTGTTTCTTTAAAAAAAAAAAAAAAAAATCGGTTGCACAATGGCCTCCAAGAGAACTTATGCAATGTGATCTAATAAAACAGGGTTAAAGATTTTTAAAAGGTGAGGAAACCTTAATCATTGGGAAAAAAGAAAGGAAAAAAGTCAACTCAGGATCTTTTTGGTCCTTAGGTCAACTCTCAGTAGAGGAGAAAAAAATGCAGCAGCAGTAGCAGCATAACCCATGGAGGAAAAAAACCAAAAAACAGAGCAAAAAACCATGTGATTTTCAAGGAGGTATTACTTTTTCTCCCAAAACTGTATTACGTCAGAAAGCATCCTGGAAAGAACACAGGGAATAAAGGTGCACTTTAGAACAGGGTTCTACTCATTATTTTGGAAGATTTATATAATGAATTCTGGCTATATGACCAATAAAACAAAACGGTGTGCACTTGGAAAAAACAAAAACAAAAACAAAAACAAAAACAAAAACAAAAACAAAAAAAAAAGAACAGGGTTCTAACGGATCTAGGCCGTTAACTGTGTGACCTTGAGTGTCCTCAGTTTCCCCTTCTGTGAAATGGAGACAATCATGGCCTGCAGTTTAACCCGGCACACACGTGCTTAATACATCAGTAATACATTACAGAAGGGAAGAGATTTTAATGCCGTCTGGAAATGCAGGCAGACCCAAGGCCCGTGGCCCTCAGTTTCTGTGAGCTGTGGCCCTAGTCTTTCGGCCCCCAGCCGGGCTCACTTCCGCCCTACGACAGACACTCGGCGCAGCCTTTTCACCCTGCATCCCTGCAGCTCCCGGGGGCCTCCCACCTCCAGGGCCCCACCTCGTTAAGAAAGCTGGTGACATCGTAGACTCGCCCGTGGATCACTAGCCATAGTTCCTTCGAAGAGTTGTGCTTCGCCACCTCCTCCAACCGATAGTAGGTGACGGAGGTCTCGCCGCCCTGCCCTTTCTCGCCGCTGCTGCCACCCTGCACGGTCGCCATTGGGCCCAAGACACCTCCTCACCGCCGCTACCTGGGTTTCTACCGCTAAATTTCCTACAGGCAGAACTCCGCTCTCGGCCCTCCTGGGCTTCCGTAACCCGGTGAACCTGGTGCGAGATCAACTAGCCAATCAGAGTCGTCCAGGCCCTCCGGCCTTGCCAATCAGACACCGTGATTTTGGAAGGACGCCTAGCGGGGCTGAGCTGGAGGGTCGGGAGTCAGCGGAGGGTCCGTTGCGCAATCTCTGCCAGCGAACTTGCTTGGTCCTCAGAGAAGGGACCGAGTCTTCAAAAATTACCCCGGAGTCCCAATTCGTTTACCTCTGCGCGAAGCTTTTTCCCCAAATGGCCTGAATACAGCTCCAGGTTTACATCTTCGCTATCTCCAGCCATTGATATGAGGAATCCGCCTCCCTATGGTTCAGCTTTCTCGCCAGTAAAATGGACGTGATAACTAAACGACCTCACAGAGGAAGTTGGCAAATTAAATAAGACAGTTTCTTTAAAGTTTTTAATAGTAATCACCACAATCACTACAGAAAGGATAACCAGTATTAGGAATGTAGGACGATTGACCCGAGGCCTTTAGTCATAATCCCATGTTTCTACCATTACTGAGAATCTGATTTTAAAATATCTGGTGGTTGAGACCTATCTCTCTCTTCTTATTATTATTTTTTTTTTAGACATGGTCTCACACTGTAGTGTAGGCTGGCCATGTACTCACTGTGTAGCCCAGGCTGGCCTCACACAGTGATCCTCCTGCCTCAGCTTCCTGAGTGCTAGGATTACAGGCATGCACCACCACGCCTGGCTGCTGCTTTACATGATCCAAAATAGAACTCACCTTAATTGTCCCCTGCTAGAGGTCCTGGCATTTTGGAATTCTAAGTGTGGTGAATGTGCAAGTGTTTGTGAGCTACTTATTTTTAACTGTCATTAAAACTGACAGATGATTCATCCTAAAATGTCACTTCCCTCGTGTTGCTGTCACAGACTACCATTGGGGACTCTCCACAGTCATCCACAGTCTTTCCATCATTACCTTTATAAGCCTTGCGCACCAGCCTCTGACTCAGCCTGCAGGCTTTATAGCCATGTTGTGGTCATCCCAGGTCCACACAGTTAACATCTCCTTCCAGTGCCTATTCAGCTTCTCAAATTCTTCCTCAATTTCTTTTTTTTTTTTTTTTTTTTT